CTACAATGAACAATAATGAGTAGCCAAACAATTGAAGGGATGCTTCCTTGGGGGTGTGTCCTGCTCCCAATATAATGGACATGTAGGAGGGACTCACTCTCTCTCTTCTTCTGGGGGGGCTTGGAGTCTTCAATTGTAAGATAACAAACTTCTCCATATGCATATAAGTACATATGAGTCACTACATTGCTTCTCTAGAAAACCCAGCTTAAGACACTAAGCTAATAATTGATAATGCTCCCCAATAAAATGCCAAGGAAGACTCCAGGGTATGATCTGCTGTTCCCATTCCCCAGACTTCAGGCAAAGCAGCCTGGCCTTCTCACAGACACAGACAGTAACTACTGATGGTAGTTCAGTGCACAGACTTATATATGCATTTCCGGAAATATTGATGAACTGTTTTCACCCCTACCTTCTCTTGGGCCTAGTCTTTCTTAATGAATACATTTGAATTGACTGCCTCAGACTTGAGGAAAAACACGCTCACTAGCCTACGTAGAAATGGAACTCTATATTTCATTAGCATTAGAATCTAACTAGTGAAAATGACTAATAGTATATTTAGATTCACACCTGAAAGCTGTTCTTCTCATCTTTCTTTCTCTTGCTCTTGCTCTCTTTTCCATTTCCCTTTGCTTCCCTTGTTTGAGTGTCTCCTGTGTTCCAGTAGAAAATGTGTGGCTATAAGATAAACTCCTCACCAACTCACATGTCCAGGCTTGAGTCCAATGAGCAAACACAGTCTTTAGAAAAATCACTGAGTACATTTAAACAATGAAATATAGTCACATGCCACCCACAGTACTTCTGGAGTAGCAAATGGATAGCGGTGTAACCAAAGCAGCTGCAGACTAGGAAACCTGCTCTCTGGTGGCTAAGTGGCACTTCAGTGATCATCTAGTTCAATTTTCTCAAGTCATAAATGAGGAAACTATGAACCAGTGAAGCAAGTATCACAATGCTAGTTAAAATACAGATCTAGGAATTCTAAATTAAAACACAAGTTTCTTCTAAACAATGTTGCTTATTACTTATTAGTAACATTCAAGCAGCTTATACATGATTAATGCCATGTTTTAATTATGCAGTTTAAAAATACTATGTTTAAAATCTAGCCTTATGCTTTGGGGAAAAAACTTAAAAATAAGGGAAGTATTGATAATTTTTATTAAATATGACAGTTTGTATCATATGACTGTCTAGGTCTAAATTTTACATCAAATCATACATTCACAGGCATGGTATATTTGTAACTTGCATGATAGAAAGTATAGTTTATGTTTCAAATAAAGCAAATATAAAAAAGTGGCACATGGTGTGAAAATAACCATTTACAAATTATTATCTAGTAAATGATGTGGCACTGTGGGTGAATGCATGGACTGCAAAGTCGGTTTGAATCACAAAGTCGGTGGAAACCCTATATGGGGTCACTATGGGTCAGAACCGATCTGATGGCACTTCACAAGAACAACTGTAAAGGATCATACAAACCTGATATAACATATTGGTATTTAGACTAAAGTTGTAACAAGGCCATATGTTACCACAGGCAATCTCAAATGCATAATTTATAACATAACCTCAGTGACTGTCTGAGAGACTTGGCTAAAGTAACAAATTAATTCAGCAGAAATAGATCCTTAGAGGATTAGTTAAGGTTTAGATAAGGTAACAAAGGTAACTAGATTAGTAGTTTCAGGCTATTCCTCAAAGAGCATTTGCCAGATGATACGAAAATCCAACCTATTTCCACAATTTAAAATAAATCTCTCCAAAATGCTTCTTTCAATATTCAGGCATAGTATGGCCTATTGGGTCATGTTGGAAAAAAATAGAAAGGATGAAAAGGAAAAGTGTAAATCTCTGGTGTTTAAAATAAGCTATCTATACTGAGGTGGGGACTAGACAAAGAACATGTAGGAGAAAAATGTGGGAATGAGGAACAAGTGAGGGAGGAAGAAAAAAGAAAAAGATGTAGATAAAGAGATATAAAGAGATAAACAAACAGCTAAAAAGATGACAAAAACAGGTTAAGAAAAGAGAAGTGAATGAAAAAGAAAAAAGAATTAAGTGTAAAGAGAGAAATCATAAGATGGGTGAAAATTAGAGAAGAAGAAAGATGTGGTAAGGGGAAAGGAAAAGAGAAAATAATACAGACCCAAACCCTATCCAAGAGTCCTGGGATGGCGCTGTGGGCTAATGCATTAGACTGCAAAGTTGTTTGAACTGCAAGGTTGGTGGTTCAAACTCACCAGCTGCTCCTTGGAAACCCTATACAGGACCGCTATCAGTCAGAATCAACTCGATGGTACTTCACAACAACAAACCATACACAGGTTGTTATGGGTCGGAATCGACTCGACAGCACTTAACAACAACAACAAGAAGACAATAATAACCTATACAGCTGTGGTGAATCTCCAATTTATTTGGGGGCTGAATTCAACCAGTAAACAAAAATGGAAGAAGCAGGACAGAGCACATTTAATATTGCTGTTACCCAAGATTTGAACTTCATCCCTTACCTTTTTTCTTTCATTCTACAGTAACATTGAGCGGCTTCAGATCCATATAATCTGATGGTTATCAGTCTATAGAAATGTCATTCCTGGTCCATATCACTAGTCCAATTGCCTAGTGAAGATGTCTCCACTTACACATTTTACAGGGATATTGAATTTAAAATGAGCAAAGCTAATTCTCCATTTATACTTTCCAAATCTGTTCTACTTCCTATGTTCCATATCTTGGTGATCACCATATCTGCTGAATTGTCCAAGCCAGAAACTGGTTCTTTCTATATTGTTCCTTTCCCCTCAACTTCCACTTCATAATGACTGCTAAAACTTACCTCCTAGATATTTCAATTGCCCCCTTCTCTCCATTCAGCTGGCTCTCCTGACTCAAGCTCAAGCCCCTCCTTCTTATTCTCAATGATTACATTAGAGAGATCTTTCTGAAATAAAAATTGGATCATTTTACTGCCTGCTAAAGGTCATCTGGTAGCGTAGTGGTTACGAATCGGGCAGCGAACCTCAAGGTCAGCAGTTCAAAACTACCAGCTGTACAGTGAGAGAAAGATGAGGCTTTCTGCTCCCATAAAGACTTAAAGCCTCGGAAACCCTGTATAGGGTCACTATGATCAGAACCGACTCCACAGTACATAACAACAACAAAAAAGGTCACCTGAGGATTTCAGGAACAAATTCAACCTCTTTACGCCAACAGACAGAACTTTCAACGCCTCACTCTACCAACTTCTACATCTGAATCTCCTACCACCCATGATCTCACTCCGACTCTATAACTACAACTGTTTTAAAACTATCGAGAAAAGGAACAAGATCCATGTACTATCTCTGTTTGTCCTGCTACATACTGCCATACATACAAAGCCTGTTTAGGATATCCCAGGTTGTAAATCTTTACTGGAGCAGAAAGCCTCATTTTTCTTCAGTGGAACAACTGATAGGTTTGAAGTGACAACCTTGTGGTTAGCAGTCCAGTGCTTACCCTGCAGTGCCACCAGGGCTCCTATTACTTCATAGAAAAAAGATATCATTCTATTTATTTTACATCAATTAACTGTGTGGTGCTATAGAAAAAGCACATGATTGCTATCCACAAGGTCAGCGGTTCAAACCCAGCTCTTACAGAGTCACTATGAGTCAAGTGCTATGACTCCATGGCACTTACCAACAACACCCATGCCACTGAGCTCCACTGACTGCATTTTTTGAGTTATGTTATCATTCTTATCTCCTTTCCTGAGCTGTTCTTCCCACTATTAACATAAATTCACTGCCCCTGAAGACTCCTATCTAAGCTTTTGAGCTGCTGCTGTCAACTCGATTCCAAATAGATAGTTTTAAGAGTACTATGCTCAAGTCAGATTTAAATGTTCAGAAACTGCAGTTGGCTATTATTCAGTGATCACGAGGGCAGCTTTTGTTTGTTTTCGTCATTGTTGTATATAGTTGTTACACAACAACTTTCACCACCTCAAGTTTTGACAGATTTATAACACCCATAGCAATGACAATAATTGAGTATTCGATCTTACCCTCAGTCAACGTGGTTTTCCATCACTGATAACAGCCCCCCAACCCCCAAAACACACACACACACACACACACACACACACACTTTTCCTCCCTCTCACCCATCCCGGATAATACCGATAGACTTTGTTCTCTGTAAATTTTCCTTTTTGGGGGGCATAATGGGTTGCAGGTTGAGCTGCTCATCAGAAGGTCAGCAGTTTGAATCTAGCAGCAAGTCCATGGAAGAAACGGGGATTTCTACTCCTGTAAAGATTTTCCGCCTTGGAAAACTTACCTAGAGTCACGATGAGTCAGAGTTGACTCGATGGCATGAGGTTTTATTTTGTTTTTTGTCTTTGTATATGAGTGATACCGTGAAACGTTTGTCCTTTTGTGATTAGTGTAGATACTATTTTTCAGGTGTCAGAAGTGAGGAGTTTTTCCTGCTTCCTGAGATCACCCTGGCTAGACAGGCCAGCCTCATCACACAGAACTTACTCTAGTACTTGCCCTGATACATACATATGCTTGTTCTCACAGGTTGCTGGGCTGGTGAGTCCATCTAAGATGGTGGCTGCACCTAATATGAACTCAGTCAACTCTGTGATCATCTATGTGCTGCATAATATGAAACACTCTTCCTCCTGGTATCCTCAGGGATACCTTGAATGTTATATGATTAAAAATTGCTAATTAGATGTGTCTTGGTCATAAAAGGCAACATTTTGTTACTGCCACTGAGTCAGTTCCCTGTTCTCAGGTTTCCGAGGAGTGGCTGATGAGTTTGAACTACTAACGCTGCAGTTCAAACTGATTGTGTGGTCCAGTGCTTATCCTGCAGCACCACACTAGGAGTCCAGGGAACTTAGTATCTGAATAGTTTCACACATATGACACAACTTGGCAAACAATTAGGGACAACTACCTCTTTGGTAGGAGCGAGGGACTCACCTTTTCTTCATTACCAACACAACTCCAAGGAATATAATAACAAATAGCAAGATGCCGGCGATGACTCCAGCAATTTTAACCGTATGGTCTGTTTGTTTCTCAGGCTCTGGGACTGGCTTTGGAGTGGCAGCTCCTAAAGATGAAAGGAAATAGAAAAGGAGAGCGTAATACGTAAGAGAGAATAAAGAAGTTACTTTTTTTTTTCTTTTAATTTTGCTGCTATTTTTAAAAGAGTAATAAAACTTATCAGAGCCAGCAGACAGATAAGCTTTGATTTCTTAAAACAGCTTTCCTAGTCACTTAAAGGACTATAATTGTTCACATTATTCTTCAATATTTTACTAAACTGTAAGTTGGATAGCACACCCATGCCTGACCCTTTAGAGGAGTCTCTTCTCAAGCACAGTTTTTATTATCTCTATTGGTTCCCTGATCTTTCTGCTGTTATAAAAAACTTGCACATAACAGCTATCCTAAGCCTTTAGCCAAATATGATTTGCTGCAATGTTTTCCTCGATTATTTTTCTTAAATTAAGCAGTAATTCCATAATGCATTAGCCCAAACACCTGGGAAAGGGAGACAAGCTCATTTACCATTTATTTTACCAGCAATTTTTGTTGTTGTTGTTAAACACAGCAGTCTCCCCCCTCTGCACTTGGAAATCTAAATCTAGGTCACATCTGGTAGGCAAAGACTCCTTCTAAGCAATTTACTCACAAGTAGGAAGCAAATAGTGGCAGCCACATTTCATATCTGTTTAAATTAGATAACCAAGGCCTTACAGTGGCATCCGTTAGTCCTCACAGTCCCCATTTCTGAAACACGGTCTGTACCGTTTATAGCATAATGTGTTGGAACATCACACATCCACGTCTGATGAAAGATCCATTTCCTCTGCTGAATGAGTTCAGGATGGAAAATATTAGGAATGCAATGTCCAGTTAACTCAACAGAACACCTCTTTAAAGGCCCTCTACTTTTTTAACTCTAACTTGACACTGATCAGCACTGAGTTATCATCTCACCCGGACAAGGTCGACAGATCATTCTGAAAACAAGAGTTTCGCTTCCAAATTTCTCACCTTAGAATTATCTTTTTGTTTAGCAAAAAAAATGTAATTAAAATTGAATGCTAGCACCCATTCTTTCCTATCCTTTCACTGGGTTTTCCATCTTTGAGTCTTAAAAAAATTAGCTATCAGTGTATCTGTGTCCTTGTGCTTGTTACCCGGAAATAAGGAGTATCAAGTTCTATAATTTTCTGTTTCTCTGTTTCCTTTGGGAACATAAAAACTCTCCTTGGAAAATTATTCATATTGCAAACACAAGATTGTATAAAGAAACTCTCACTCCCGCATACTGTGGAGGCCCTGTGGTTGAGGGGGCTTGGAAAAATCAGGGGAACTCATGAACAGTGAGACCTAATGGGCAGTGATCACTGGAGGTTCCAGACATACCAGTGGAGTATACATCTGGACTCCTGGTGTGGCACTGAAGGATCAGCACTGGACTGTGAGACAGGCGGTCGGCAGTTCAATCTTACCAGTACTCCTATGAATTGGATCTGACTCCCCAGAACTTAACAACAACAACACATGTCAATTTGGAGCAAACTGTAACATTGAATAAATTGCTAAGAAAACTTTAAAGATAAAGTGTGTATGTAATAAAAAGATGAAGAATAAAAAATAGAGGGGAAAAAAGCAACCCTTTTAAAAACAAATACCAAAAAGACTCAACCCAGTTGATGATTCATGGAGAACCCATGTGTGTCAGAGTAGAGCTTTGCCTCACAGGGCTCACAATGGCTGATTTTCAAAAGTACACCATGAGGCCCTTCTACTCAAGCATCTCTAAGGAGACTTGAATCTTCTGACATTAGGTTATCACTCAGGAAGGCCAACATATTTCAAATTTATAACGTTTTAAAAAATTCAAGTCTTTTAATTTTTTTTTTTTTAAAGCTTTTATTGTGAATTGAGTGACAGTTTCATGGGAGAAAATCGGTTTTGCACTCCTCATATCATATTTTGTTTCATTGCATTTACAATCCCCTCCATGCATTATCATTTAACAGTATTTTCTTTTATTCCCTCTGTGTGGTTTGCTTGTTTGACGTACACAAAAACACTCAGGAATATATAATCATTTAAACAAAAAAAGGGCACATTCTACAGCCTCCTGGCCACCAGCACACAGCCTTTCTCTTCCCATGAGTCTATAGTCAGAAATTCCATTATCTTTTTTTTTTTTTAGTTGATTTTCCATTTTAAAGTTGCATTTCATTACATTATTTTGTCTGCTTTCTTTTACATCTACTTTTTTTTTTAATGTTTTATTGTGAATTATGTTAGCTTACATGGGAGAACATTAGTTTTACATTCTTTCTATCCTATATCATTTCATTGCCATGGTTACAATCCCTTCCATGAATCATTAACCAACCAAAGGATATACCCTGCAAGCCTGCCCCCCAGTCGTCAGCACACAGCCCCTCTCCCTCTCTGGGTCTAGAATCCCCAGGTGCTCCATCTCTCCACGTCATCATCTCTGCCTCCATCTCTGGCATCACTGCTTCTCTGGGTAGGATCCTGCACTCCACTCTTCTCCCTTGATGGTTCCAGGGACCTCTGCTCATAGACTGCAAAGTTAATCACTATCCTCTGTTTGCTACAAAATGTCTACCTTTACATTTCCAACCCTTAGTCAGTCCTGATAACAATTATTCACTATTGTACCACAAGAGACCTATTCGCATCTCCTTTCATCAGCCCCGCCCAGATAGATTGGATACTACTCAGTGGAGATTCTACCTTCCTCCACACCCTCTGGATCTAGGTTCCCTCTTGAAAGCTTGTAAGCCAGTCACTTCTTGCCTCTGTAGCTTCCTCATTTTGGGTAGCCAATGTTCAAGTTGCCCATCCCTGTCTACTCTGTGTATGGAGGGGGTGGGAATGAGCCTCACTGTAAAGATTCGTTCCCTCTTTTGCCCTAATGCATCCATATGTGTAGGTCAAGTTCATCAAATTGTATCAGATTACTCTTTTTTCCTCTTCTTTCTTCTTCTCGTTGAGCTCTGATCATCCAGTCATTGAAGCCAGGTCAAGTGGGTATTATCTGCAAGTATGGGTGTTCTTACGCATATGCCCTCTCTTCTTATCAGTTGGACGCTTCACTCTCCACTCTAGTCCTCTGTGGCTATGTCACTGACTCTGGGCCCAAGAGTCCCCAGGTCTTGCTACACTGCTGACCAACCAGGTCTCCACCCAGATTCACAGGAGTCTATTGAACATTGTATTGCTTATCTCCCAGCTTCATTGCTGTTTTTCCCTCATTTCCCCTTATCGGTGACGAATGTGATCACCAGTTAGAGCGTGTATTCCCATTGAGTCTTAGTCTTGGAAGGGGGTTTGCCCTGAGGGGACGTGGCTACTTGCCTTGATGTCTCCTGGGCGAGTAACTTGCTTGTTGTTGTAATAATCAGTTGGACTGTCATTATTGTTTTGTATTTTTCCTGTTGGTTTTTCTTTCAAGAAGTATCTTCAGTTTTTCTAGCTGCTCCAGGCCGGTCTGTTTGTCCTTTCCAGTGGAAATTTCCCACCTCAGAGAAGCCTCCTTCACTGGGCACACTGTAGCCCCATTTTAGGTATTCCAATTAGTTACAGGCAGAAGATGGACTTACAAGCTTTCTACGGTGGTATTTCTGGATATTCCTTTCTCTCCCTTCTCCAGTGTCTATTTTATAATGGTATACCAGGGAAACCAAGATTCAAAAGACAGCCAAGCATCTTAACATTATTTCCCCCCTTTTAGCCATACAAACCATGTCTCAATCCCTGTATCCCAGAGCCCTGTTGTTCCAAGGTTGTGCATACATCATTATTTACTTCCGTCCCAATTAGCCCATGCAAACCTGCCTAATTGTTTTCTCAAATGCCTTGTTCTTCCATTCCCCTCCCTCTTCTTGTGTATTGCTCCCCCTCCTTAGCATCCAAACTATGCTGTGTCTAATCCCTACCCTGTGATTTACCTTCAACCCTTCTCCCCTCACCTCACCACCCACATCCCGGTAACCAGCAAAGAATCCCTCTCCCCCCTCCCTTAGTATGGGTTCTTTTTCTTAGTCTTTTACAATAGTGGTCCTATGCAGTACCTTTTGTGACTGACTAATTTCACTCAACATAATGTCCTCAAGGTTCATCCATGTTATGTGATAGCTTACACCTTCCTTGTTGTTCTTCAAAAAAGTATAATATTCCATTATGTGTATGTACCACAGTTTTTGTTTATCCATTCTTCTGTTGATGGGTACTTAGGTTGCCTCCATTTTTTGCTATTGTAAATAGTGCTGCTATAAACATTGGCATGCATATATCTACTTGTGTCATGGCTCTTATTTTTTGTGGGTAAATACCAAGTAGAGGAATTGCTGGATCATAAGGTATTTCTATTTCCAACCTTCTGAGGAAGCGCCATATTGTTTTCCAGAGAGGTTGGACCATTTTGCAATCCCACCAACAATGCAGGAGCATTCCAGTGTCTCCACATCCTCGCCGGCATTTACTGTCCTCTAGGAAACCCTGTACAGGGTCTCTAGGAGTCAGAACCAACTCCACAGCACATAACAACAATAACAACAACAAGAAGTTTTTTTTTATCTTTGTTGTTATTGCAGGTGTGAGATGATATCTCATTGTTGTTTTGATTTGCATCTCTCTAATGACTAATGGGAGCCCTGGTATAGTGTAGTGGGTTAATGCGCCAGATTGCAAAGCCATTTGAACTGCAAGGTCGGTGGTTCAAGCTCACCAGCTGCTCCTCGGAAACCCTATACAGGGTCGCTGTTGGTCGGAACTGAATTGATGGCACTTAATAACAACAAAACATCAATGGCTAGTGATCGTGAGCATTTCTTGATATGTTTATTGGCTGCCCAGATCTCCTCCTTGGTTATGTGTCTGTTCATGTACTGTGCCCATTTTTAATTGGGTTGTCCTTTTCTTGTAGTGGTGTTATAGTTTCCTATGTATTTTAGAAATGAGTACCTTGTCTGATGAGTTGTTGTAAAAGGTATTTTCCCATTCTGTGGGTTCCCATTTTTTTTTCATTGCGGTGAGTCTTTTGATGCACAT